GACAGGATACACAATTGAGGATCTTAAGCCCTGCCTCATGGACCTCCACAAAACCTACTATAGAGCTCCACAGCATACTCAACAATCTATACGGGAGAAATACAAGGCTATAAAGTAAGTACAAGGCTCTGACTGCAGCTGTTCTTTAATTTTTCTGTAGTTATAGAACTGTAGAACTTCCTTGGAATAATTGCTACATAGATAAAATTGATAACTGAACATGATCAGCATGCCAGAGAGCAGAAATAATAGTTCATGTAAATGCTTTCTTTTTCCCCAGGTACAATGCAGTATCGCTTATTGACCCTCCAGAGAGACTAAACCTATAACAGTCAAATAAGACTTGACATCTCAAAAGTGTATATTGCCCCAAACCGTAAATGTACAGTTTTAAAATTGTATTTAGATTTTGATCACTCTGGTATATTACCATAGAAAATTATGGATATTTTTTTTTTACTTTTATAATGTTTTAATGTAAACTTTTGTACATGCAATCTTGTTCTAAATGCTTAGATGGCGCTCCTTTAAAGTTCTGGTGAAACAGATTTAAACCATGCTGGTACACCACTTGAGTGTCACTGTTCAACCTTTTTTAAGAAACAAGAGCCATGTCAGTGGGGATTCTGACTCTAAATGACAAATCAAGATAGCTCAAGAGGAATTGATCTGCACATACAAGAAAAGTTCCAGTTCCTCTGCATACTCCATATATAATTAAGTTGCAGCAACATTTTAGAAGAGTCCTAGTGCCTAGTAACCTCAGATTTTAAAAGTGATGCTACTGTGATACTTCCTGCTATCAAGGAATTTTACCTGGCTGCTAGATATTTATACAAGCTGCTAAGGGTAGCATCTCTTAGTGTGTGCTATTAAAGTGGCTTCTTAACACACTGCATTAACAGCTTTTGCTCAGACCCATAGCAGCTTCGTTTGGGTGGAAGAGGTAGTCTTCCTTTAATACAGGACATAGATAGCTATTACTTTTCTGAAAATAATTCCTGTTTTACACTCAACGAATTCATGAAGTGGGACTAAGTTTATTCTGTTGTTATTGAGCAAACAAAGTTCCTGGCCTACAAATGTATTCAGTGCTAAAGGTAATGCGGAACTCCTAGCTGGTACATGAAGGTAACTTCAGCAAAGTTGCTGCTTTCAGAGCCTATTGCCCTGCATCTACCTGCAGAAGTCCTTACTATGGGCAGCTTGTGTAATTGGTAAAAGGCTTGGCATGGATAATTTTCAGCAGCTGAGACAAGATGGAAGTAGTGGGTGTCTTCTGCAAATTAAATCCTAGCTCAAGGACTTCTAACTTGTAAGGCTGGTGAACTTTTTCAGTCATACTTAAATAGAATTGGATTCCTGTAACCAAGAGTAGCACTACTTGATATGAATGTGTTCATGACAAACCATGCATGGAAAGACCTAAGTGTAAACCATCTTGAAGCTGGTCAATAAAATCCTTGAAAAAGGACATGGTCTTAGTAATTTGATTGCATATACCAAATACTGAAGACATTCTTAACATACCTGTATCACTGTTCATGAAAATGTCATTGTGCTTGTTTAGTAATCTGCTATTACCAGGAGAAGGGTCAACCCTTTAGGGCTATGTGGGATTATGGAAGAGTGTTGTCTTTCTAGCCAAAGGAAGTGGTACTATAAATCAGTCAATTTCATAGTCTGACACCAGTTTGTATCAAAACAGGGGTAGGCAACCTTTTTGAGCCAGGGGCTGGGTTGCTGTCCCTCAGACAATTGGGGGGCCGAATCACCAAAAATAAATAAACAAACAAATATAAAAATATTTTATTAAAAAATATATATATATATATATATACCGGGGGGGGGCGGTGGCAGGACCGGCCTGGGGCCGGTCCAAAGGCCTCTGGGGTCCACATCCGGCCCCCAGAGGCCTTAGGTTGCCTACCCCTGTATCAAAAGAACAAAAATCATAGTACCTAGGCCAGTTCTTCAGAGAGCAATGGTCTCAGTAACTTTCAGGTGTTGCTCCTTCCCATCCCCAGCCATCACAGGTTGGCTTAAGAAAAGCACGGGCTGCTATTATAGTTTAAGATAGTAAAAACTTCCTTTTTTATCAAGAGCTATACTGTATACTCTTCTATAGCACAAAGCAAGATGGCTATAGAAGGGACCAGGAGGCACCTGGTTGGAAGAGTGCTAACACTGTCCTTACACATCTCCAGCAAAACTGCAGCTACATACTGCCTGGATGCCTTCTTTCTGTACAATAAATAGCCATCGCACAATATGTACAAGCTGCCAGGGGATAGATATCATGCAAGGAGTACTAAATGTGCGCTTTGCAATGTCCAAAAATGAGATGTGCATAGAACTTGGATTAAGTACACATGTCACCAACAACTTCCAGCCACGCCTTCCTGACCACTGGTCATGCTCAATGACATTTATGGGAAGTACAATCTAAGACAAGCTGAAGGTGTTGAACTGCATATATATGAGGTAATCCTTTTAACTCTTGCCTTTACTATCTAGTCGCTGCCCATGTTGAGTCTAAAACTGTTGCCCTCAAGAAACCTAGACTTTCATATCTGGTTGTGTTAAATTATGGAAACGAAGTATATAAGAACCTCAACATTGTGAAGGTACAAATCCTTCCACCTACTACTGCTGCTGACAGGTCCAAAGCCAGGAACATACATATGATCCTGCACGAATGCCTCCTGCCCTGACTTCACTCCATCCACACAACACAGGGCCAAAGCCCCAATTCGACTGCACATTGTCTTCATGAGGGAAGGCCAGTTCCACAGAATAAGGGCCACCCCTAGCATAAACTGCATTAAAAAAAAAAAAAAAACAGAAAAATTCTGGGTACCACAATTCAAAAAAGATGTTGACAAGGTAGAATGTATATAAAGAAGGGTGACCAAAATGGTGAAGGGTTTAAAATCCATGCCTATGAGGACATTGATGGAGTTTTAAAATTGTATTTTAAAGGAGCAACTTAGGGAGCTAGGTGTTTAGCCTGGGGAGGAAAAGGTTAAGAGGTGATATGATAGTCCTATTAAGTATTTGAAGGGGTGTCACACTAAGGATGGAGCAAACTTGTTTTCTGCTGATCCAGAGCAATAGATTCAAAACTACAGGAAAAGAAATCCCACCTCAACATTGGGAAGAACCTCCTGACAGTAAGAGCTGCTCGACAGTGGAACACACTCCCTTAGAATGTGAAGTCTCCTTTGAAGGTCTTTAAGCAGAGGCTGGATGACCATCTGTTGGAGACATTTTGTGAGTTGCTGCATGGCAGGAATGGACTGGATGGCCTTTGAGGTCTTTTCCAACTATGATTCTATGAAAATCCAGAGCAATGCCAGGCAGCTGTTTATATACGTGATCAAGGTTGGGCCCCTTGTTTTCAATCTTGGAGTCACTTGCAACACAGCAGGATGTATACATAGACAGCTACCTTACATTGTGCCAGAGTGCTCAGGCAAAGCCAGAAATTTGGAGCAGCTTCAGGGCCAGAATACTCTGGGAGCAGCCAAGAGTATTCTGGCCAGTGTAGATCTGACGTTATCCTTATATAGGCTTCTGTCCTAACTAATTATATATTTACAGCAAGATCACAGAAACAGACCAAAATAAATGTTTATTACAAAAGACTTATGCATATATCCCTTATGAGGCAAAAACACATACCATTACAATTCTTTTCAGCAACATAAACTAAGCTATTATAAAGGATTACTGGTGTTGGGCACAAAAAGTCCAATGTACAAAAATATCCATTCATTTATTTAGCACCTCTTTTTCCCCCTCTTTTTCAAACCTGTTTTTTTATTTATTGTGTCCTGTTTGGGAGAAGTTTCTGTTCTGTGGGAAGAAAAAGGAATTTAAGCATACATATAAAAAACAAAATCTTGCATTCTGTTGCAGGTGGATAATCAATGTCTTAATTTTCTGCATTTAAATTTCAGTTAAGCCAAGCATAGCTGTCTTTAATAGAAGTGAGTACATGGACCTATACAGTGTTACAATTATTAGTGCATTTGAGAGCAAAACCACTGATCACTGTGAATATAAATACTAAAGCTTTACACATGTTCCTCTGCCTAGTTTCCTACTGCTTTATGTACTGCCACCCTATCTCAACTTAAGGGTAGTCTGAAGTCTTTAAAAAAGTGTTGATGGGAATATAATGCCAAGGCCCTCAGGATACTGAGTTTTCTGTGATCAGTGCCCTACTGCAGCTGCAGAGTATGGATCTAACATTGCAGAATACATGCTGTCTTTTAATCATGCTGTAGGAAGTGACATCCTGGTTCCTGATTGATTTTTAAGTTACATTAAACAGAACTCTGGCTTCTACCATCAATCAGACAACCCAGCACTATTGGGAAGCTGCCATCCACCTCCCAGGAGTAACAGGACAGCAGGATTGATGCCAACCTAGCCCTCCAAAGAGTTGGAGTGAGCTCATTGTTACTCCCTGCCAATAAGAATATTTGTAATATTGGGAGGAAGAATGGTCCATTTGTTGGCCAAAGAAGCAAGAGCAATTAACCAGTGTTCAAACAAGACTACTAGTGAGGGAATATGAGCCTGGTCAAAACGGTCTTTCCTATCAAATACAATTGGGGAGGGGACTGTCCAGGATATTACCTGTTCTTGCGTGCCACTTCTGGTTCTAGAATCACAACATCTTCCTCTTCACTGTCAGATAAAACAATTGTCTCATCTGGAAGATACAAGAAAACTGACGATCACTACATACATTCACATGCCAATGATTGGTCTGCTCAGGCCAGTACCAGTAGGATCTTTTTAAAAATAATCCTTTACATAATTCTTGCTCAGCATGTGGAGATTATACACACCAGCACACTAAATCTAGTTAGGCATGGAATCTAGAAGAACATTGTAAATGACATTACAGTTATGTGCCTTCACGTTAACTCCAACCTATGGTGACCCTACTCTGGTTTGCCACTGCCTTCCTCTAAGCAACTATGAGAGCCAGTGTGGTGTAGTGGTTTGAAGATTGGACTATGACTCTCGAGACCAGAGTTCAAATCTCTGCTCAGCCATAGAAACCCACTGGGTGATTCACACTCTCTCATCCTCAGGAGACAAAGGCAAACCCTCTGAAAAAAATTTGCCAAGAAAATGTGACATGAAAAAGTGGGTTTCCATGGCTGAACAGAGTATCCAGCAGTCCTAGTCCAACACTACACCACACCGGCTCTCCATGCTACGGCACTCATATCAAAAGCATAGCTTAGGTATGCTATTTCAAACGACAACTTAAACTGGTTCACTGTCCCCCCCAGTTTAGCAACTGTATATTGTCAAATGTAGGTCTGTACTTGTGTACTGGGTTTCAAAAGGACAGAGCACTTTATTTTTAGGTATTTGGGTTTTGTATTTATAATTACCTAATATTTTTGATAAGTCTCAGAACTCATCTAGCAGCCATGGCCATGTTGGCTGGAGGATTCTGAGCTGTAGTCCAAAAATGATTTTTTTTGTAAGATCTGGCTACTACTGTTCTATTTTTTGACAGGAACCCAATGCAGAACACAGACAAAGCATCTATTCCAGGCAAGTCAGAAAATGTTTAAACTGAAAAGGATTCCCATCCTCCTGTAAAAACTTTTTAAACTACCTCCCCTCTGCACATTCAGCTGACTAGTATTGTGATCATCTATTCATATTTCTGTATGCTGAGTGCATTAGAGTAGATACAGAGCTACAAAAATTAGTTTTCAGCTTCACCTTCCTATTCCATTTTATCCATAACTTTTTTTTAAAGCCACACTCTTTAATTTTAAAAATCATACCAACCTTTCTGGCTCCTGGTCCCAACACCAGCATCTCCTGTTTCCATATTCTGGTCTTCTACTGTTATAGGTTCATCCAGAGTAACTTCATCTTCTTCCTCTTTTTCAGATCCCTCAAAATCTCCCCATGAATTCTCAAGTCCTTCTCCAATCTGGGCTGTGCCAGCAGTCCACAAAACTGGCTTAGCCAAACTAGGCTCATTAAGAAAAACCCTGAAGTTATCAAAATTTGATTTGATGGGCTTCTTGGCTCAGAAATAGCTGACCTTGTGTTGTGTTTTGCTCTAGACTTCAGAGGAAGAAAACCTGTCCTCTCCTGAATGCTCTTAACAGTTATAAGTATAGAGTGGAGAAATACACTACATTTTTCTCATAAAAACTGCAAACTCATGTTTAAAAAAACATAGTATAATTTATCCACTCTAGGACATCCTTCAGCATAATTAATGTGTAGCAGCCATCATTAACATTTTGTCATTTTGTCAAAGTTTTGCTACTTTTAGCTACAAAGTTTTGCTACTTTTAGCTACAAAGTTTTGCTACTTTTAAAGAGGGACAGATAGCCTTCCCAGCATCAGACACATTATATTTTCTACCTGGAAAAATGATTTCCCTATAGCGTACTGCTATTGTAACCAAAAGAATAAGTTAGCATCGTATCTGGGTTATTACACTGCACAAAAAAATTAGTGATAAAAAAGACTTCTATGCCATTTGTGAATTCATAAGTCAGTGTAACCTTTTCCACATCCCCAGTGGGTACATGCTTTCCACACTAACGAATGCTCACCTGGTGAAAGACTGCTTATTGTACTCCATCCAATGTTATAGTCTAATGTTCTTCTGTGCATCTTTCTATGTTTACTTATTATAAGCTGCCCAGAGAACTTTGTTACAGAGCAGCACAGAAATTGTTAATAAAACAGCAAGTTTCTTAAAATTGCCTTTTCTTGCAGGATGCATACTCATCTGCCATCAAAAGCCAAGTCTAGGGCATTCTTCAAAACCCTCCATCCCCAGTTCCCTCACATTTCTTCTCCTATTGTGTGAGAATCAGACACTGTTACTGGTAGAGGAGCAGAGTACATAAAGCAATGTGCAGGGTATAAAATTCAAGATTCAGCTTATTTTTATGTTTTGAACTAACCATGAAGTATCTTGGATCCCTACTCCCTTTCACAGATCCACAGCACTATAATCTTACCATTTTTGGACACTAATTTATATGAATGTGCAGGCACAGACATGAAAGATTCTGAGCTACTGAAATGGGAAAGCCATGCTTTGTTGCATACTAGACTTTCTGGCACAACTAAGGATAGGCATCTTTGCTTTCTGAGTGCTGCCCATAAGCATAATAACCTAGACCACTCATATAATTTTTAAAAGATACACTTCTGAAGGAGGGAATGCTTTAGTAATTATTTCTTCAGCTTGCTCTTGTATATCTTTAATGTCAACTGGGGCTTGTTCTATCTTAAATGCAGTGATTCTTTGGTTAGGAACAGATTCAGCAAATCCACATTTTCCCCCTTCTTTCCTATTAAAAAGAAAAAAGTCATTAGTAGTCCAAACATCAACTGAAATGTTCTACAAAATAAAACATATTCTATTTCCTTATAAATTAATTTATTCTCATCATTTTATAACCACCTTTTGAAAAGATTTCCTCCTATCTTAGAACTCATCCACAAAGTTAGAGTCCAACTGACACCAGTGAGATATGAAAACAAGTACAAATACATCAACATAAAAATAGAAGAAATCAATTACAGGACTTGGCTGAATAAAAATAATTTCCAGAATACATTAAAAAAAAGGGGGGGGGGAAGAGGAGACGACTGGGCTGGACACATCACCTTGGAAACAGAATAACACAGCTCCGGTACCCTGAATTAAAAGACACTGTCCTAGATATAAGCCAGTCAGAATATTGGTACGATGGTCCAGAGAGCAGGCCATCCAATGTTTATATCAAGACCAGGCTAGGGCTTGTATGGGCACATGCTTCATTTAACCCAGTGGGCTGCATAACCTATGGCAGGGGTAGGCAACCTTTCCCCTTTAAGGGCCGAGGGACTTCAGCTCCCAGAATCCCAGGAGCTATTGGCCAACATGGGACTATTGGCCAGCATGGCTGAGGCTTCTGGGAGCTGAAGTCCCTCAGCCCTTAAAGGGGAAAGGTTGCCTACCCCTGACCTATGGTATGCAGACTCTCAGGAGGCCTCAATGTTCTCAGAGGGGGGCCCACAAAAGACAGGAGCCAAGGCAAAGGCAGGTTGGTTGGCTGGGCCTGCTCCACATCAGGGAAGGGGCAGGCTGAGCAGCTGAATGATAGCAGAGCGGACAGCCAGCCAGCAAACACAATTCTCTCTCCCCTTCCTTCTCCTTTCCAGGGGAAAGATGGGACGTCAGATAATGCAATGGGGAGCAGCCACCAATCTTTTCTTCCAAACTCTCTTTTTCAACATTGACACCACCAAGAAAAACCTTTTGTGTCTCCAGCTTTAGGTAGAGGGAATTATATCTCAATCACATCTCCTCCTTTGGCGCCACCACAATCTCAGCTCCTCCTACACCCCCAAACTCAAGTTCCTAAGCTTTAACTTTCTTTTGCACACAGAAAGGGAAAGAGAAGATACAGGTGTTCTTCATCACCTTGCTGCCACCAGCATGCATGAGATCAGACATATTATCCTTTTGTGGTGTGCATGCCTTCTGAAATTGGTGTTTGCAAAGCATTCACATGCACATTTCTACGCTGAAGGATATTCACAGGGAGAGATTGGAAAAGGGTAGGGAAAAAGGCAAAGACCCCGGGGGGGGGGGCATTCCAGCAAATCACCAGTTCTCACGAAAGTGCATCAGACCTAGAAACGCACATTTACAGTCACTTGTGGAAGAAACCCTTCAACACTTCCCCTCTTTTCTCCCTTTCTTTATCAGGACAGAAGGAGACTGAGTTGGGAGAAGGAGGAAGGGAAAAGAGTGGGTGGGCAGGTGAGAGGAGCAAAGAATGAAGCAAAGATTCTGGCAGACATCCTCACCACTGATATTAGTAGTTAGCATTTGGGAACAAATGCTACCACACCTGAACCCCCCCACCACACCTGAAACTCCAGGGCGACTGCAGTTTGTAGGGGATGGAAGTTTCTGTCACAATCCTAGAAGTCCACTCTTATGGTTACTTATCAAAGAAATTCGCTGTTTGGCTGTTTATTCTGTTTGTCTCGCTTGATTTGCCTTTCTCAGCCAACAGTGTGGCAGCCCCTCCACCTCATCATTCACTGAGTGCATGTTCCCCTTTCTGCCTCTGTCTTCTCAGGCCCTCAATGATTATGTTAAGCTAAGGCCAACTAGGGGGATGTGGTAGCTTAGCGGTTAAGATATTGACTCTGACGATCGCAAGGTCGGCAGGTTGAGACCCAAGCATTGTGTAACAGAGTGAGCTCCTGTCACTAGTCCCAGCTTCTGCCAACCTAGCAGCTGAAAAGCATGTAAAAGTGCAAATAGATAAATAGGTACATCTTTGGTGGGAGGGGAACAGCGTTCTGTGCAGTCATGCTGGCCACATGAACACGGAGTCATCTTTGATAATGCTGGCTCACTTGGCTTAGTAACGGGGAACAGCACCGCCCCCTACAGTTGGACACAACTAGACAATCTTATCAAGGAAAAACCTTTACCTTTTTAAGACCAGCTAGAGTGGGAGGCAGAAGAGAAGCAGGGAAGATGTTTACAAAAGCAGCAATTTCCAGCATCCCTTCACCTCCTTCCCTGCTCCCTCCCCCCAACTCTCTTCATTTTAGCTGGCCTTGGCTTATCATTGTCATGGGGGGTATGAGAGCAGAGGTGGCAGGGGGCAGATGCATCTGGTGAGCAGTGGAGGAATACAAGGTCTGCCAGAGAAGTGTGTGGGTTAAGTGTGAGACAAACAAAGCAAGCTAGCTAGAGAGAGAAACTGAGTGGACAGAGAACAGAGCAGGCAGGTCAGCAGTGAGCCAAAGCCGCCTGAGTTGCAGACCGCATACACCATTGGACTGGAAGGGGCTGTAGGTGGGAAAGAAGACAGAGAAAAGGAGCAGGGTGAAGAGCAGGACAACACTACTGCAGGAAATTTTTGCAGCAGTTTTGTCTTAGATGGAAAAAGTGGAGGTGAAAGACTTGGAAACAAGCAGTGGAAACAGTGACAAACTTGCAAATAATCAAATCCATGGAAGTAAAACCCACAGAAGTTGAGGACCAAT